CTGTAGCCTTAAATTTCAAAGATAAGTGCAAAATTTAAATTAAGTTAGATGGATTTTTGCAAGACACTAAAAACAAAAGTAACTTTTTAAATCGATTTAAATATCTATTTAAAATATTTTAAATCGATTTAATTAGATTTTCTAAAGATCATTTGTTTTAGATTAATAAAAATTTATTTTTATTTAAAAAGAAATGTTGCTTCAAGTTTTGAGCAAAAATTTGTCCTCGAGAAAAAGTCTTTTTCAGTGTGATTGTAGTATACAGTCAATTGAGGAGAGATGTTTATCAAAAGCAACTTTTTTCTGGAGGATAATTGTAAGATTTTGCCTTCTATGGGTTTTAGCGGTGGCTCTTGAGTAGTTTTCTCAAGCTTTTTAAAGTTCCTAGACATTGCTGATTTTTAACTATGACAGAAATTGGATTCAAACTGATTTAGACTCAATTTTAGTTGATTTTTTAGTTTGGAAAAAAGATGAAATCGAATTGCTCTAAATCCATTTTAACTTACGTTTTTTAATCTGCATTTTTGATACTGAAATCGATCTCAATTTAATTTGCATTTTTTTTTTCAAAATCCAACTCGACCTAATTTTGAACATGCGGGTAGGCACATGCAGTTGGGAAGAATTTTGTTTCGGCTGTTTTTTATCAGCACTCATTAATTGAGTTGGTACCCAATAAAGTAAAACGTTCATTGTTTTCTTTCGTCATTAAACATTTTTTATATGTTTATTTATAACCATCTCGGGTACCTAGTAACAAATTTGCCCTTGTAACAAAAAAAGTCAGCGGCTAAGCGTAACAGAGTTTTATACCTAGTAACAAATACCCACATTTTGCAAAAGGGATATATAGTTAATGAGATCCCAAATTTCTGGCCAAATTTCTTGAAGAGATCCCAAATTTGTTGTTTAACAAATTCAACAATCTTTTTCAATTCAAAAGATTTTGTTCTCAATTTAAGTTTAGTTTTTGGCTTAATTAATTGCCAATGTCAGACAAACAAAAAAAATCTGTCAATCAGTTTTTTCTAAAGAGAAGTAAACGAGACTGCTACTGGTCTCCAATAACTTTGTTTAAGGACAAGTTGACAAATCCTGAATTTAAGCTGAGTTTAATCTATCATATACGAATTTAATAGAACCAATTAGCCTGCCTCGGTTGAATTTGGAACGATTTTTTGAATTGAGATATTTCATAATGCGCGTTCAACTTCTAGCATCAAAGTATTACAGAGCTTTTATAGTCACAATAGTCTAACAATAAGCCATTCACAGCATTCTCGCAGCCAGTATAGTATAACGGGAGCGTGCCCCTTCTGGGATCACAAAGATCCCAAGATCCAGCCGCCGAGTGAAATTTTTTTTGAGAATTGATCTGAATAAAAAAAATACCCCGAGCATATATTTTCCTTACTTTTTCAATTTCGGAACAACAAATATAATCATTACGAGGCCAAACTCTGCATTCTGTGTAATTTAAGCGGATTCCGCGACCGGATCAAATCAAATTTGTCGCGAAATCCTTAACTTTCTTTGATATTCTTCGCAGTTTTAGATTCCACAAACAAATACCTAAAACACTGTACCGCTCAAAATTGCTCCACAATAGGCGGATTTGCAGAATCCACAACCGTTTCTGCGGATTCCAGAACAGTTTGTGGAATCCACAAACAAACAAGAAGACATTTGTATAGTTAAATTGAGCTGTTGCGGATTCCGCAATTGTAAGTGAAATCCGCTAACTGTAAATGGAATCGGCAAATTGTACGTGGAATCCGCATTTTGTTTGCTGGTTCCGTTTACATACATGTATATGAGTAGTATAGAGTTATAAAATATGTCTTTTGTTTTTTAGGTGGTCACCGGAAAATCAATCGCAATTATTACATTGATCAAATACCAGTTGAAATACCAAACGTTTGGTCTCAATTCCCGTCAACCCAACATCAATCTCCAATCCTGTCAACTTCGATCTCAACTTCGATCTCAACTTCGATCCCAATTCACTAGAATCGGAATCTACTAGATCATCAGTATTTGGGATTGATGGAATTCCAAATACTGACCAGTATTTGGGATTTATGCAATCCCAAATACTGACCTAATTCGGCGATTTGCTGTGCGTTGTGTTTCTAAACACTCTCAAGCCAATGACCACAAATGTTGACAAATTTTGGCGATATGATGTGTGTTGTGTTTCAATACACTCTCAACCCAATGACTATTTAATTTATTCGGTGTTGTGTTTCCAAAATACCAAAAGGTGACATCCACCGACTTAATTAACAAATGTTTTAAGATTTGTTCGTGGAATCCGCTGGCAAGGGTTAACGGGTTAAGTCCTTTCCTTTAAATTCCGCATTGCTATAGATAAGAATTCCAGCTCTAGCTTTTAATTGTTCACATGCAAGTTCAGTTGTAAGCAAATTTTTGAATCCAAATTTTGATGATTGCACTTACATTTACGGAATCCACAACAATTAGTTATGTTCGCTTGTTGCGGAATTCGCGACACAACAAATGTGCCGACTAAGTTTACGTTACAGGTTTTTGCACGCGGAATACAAGGAAGTTTTGTTAGTGTGGAATCCATTAATACATTGGAACATGTTTAAAGGTTTGTCTATGGAATCCAGGAACATACAGACCCAAAGCTGTGCGCCTATCCAGTGTACAGTTTGGCCTTGTAATGATTGAGGTAATCAAATCTTCACTTTTGCTTCACATTTATATACAAAGCAAAAAAAATCGTAAAAATTGAAATAATTTGTTGATAACTTGAATCTAGACTAAAAGGGCTTGTATATGATATATCGTTTCATCTCTGCTGGTTTCATTTGCCGCACTAGGACTAGCGAACAAAAAACCATACTTGATTTCTACTTTGTTCATATCCCCCTGCACGTTTGAAATAGCTTTGGTTTATTTTGAAATCATCAAGGAAATTTTTTTCAGAGAAAAAGCCATAAATAAAAGTCTAAAACCTTTTTGAGAATTTTGTATTTTTGCTCAGGCTTTCATTCATCTAATGGTTAAAACAACTAATCTAAATTCAATTTCAAATGAATACATTTTAACTAATCAAATGCTCTCCTTTTTTTTCAAAAACAGTGCGTTTTCATTCGGGTTTCAAGAATGTATATTTCTATCGCTATAAGTAATTTGTTCGATTCTGTTGATCGCCCAAATGAGTTGTTGAATCAAACAAATTATTGATCAAACGTTTTTCGAAAACTATTTCAGCGGTTGGTAGTTCGGTCGTCTTGAAATTTCCTTCGTACTGGCAAGCACTGTGAATACAAAAGCTCCTAACAAATTCACAGCCCCGCAAAGATCGAAAACTTTCTGCCAATTGCTGAAACTGTAAACATTTTCTGCAGTTAACCATTCCGAAATAGTCGGCGCCAGAAAACAGCTGATTATCCCAAACACATTTGCGAATGAAAATACAGCACCGACGAAAAACTTATCGGGGCAAATATCCAGCACATGTGAACAAACTTGAGTCAGAAAGCACGAGTTTGCGATCGAACCCATGCTTAAGAAGAAAATAGCCAAGATTGCGTTGCAAGGGTTGAATCGGATCGCAAAGCAGAAAAAGGCGGCAATGACGCCTCCAAAAACGACCGAGATCTTTCGTATACTAATCGTTGACCAGCCAGAATGCTTTCGGGCCAAGTCGGTAAAATACGAACAGAGAATACTGAAAACAGTGCAAAATACATGGGGAAGAGCTGCGTATAACCCACTGATTTGTACATTGAGACCCAATACATATGAAAGGTAACTGCAGCCACGATTAATTAACTTTAGGCCTTATGAATATATTATTACTGGCTTAGTTTAAGGTTTCTGACTATTTTTACTAATAACGACAACTCGCAACAAAAAAAACGATTCACAATAATAGACAACTCGCAATAAAAGACAACTCACAATATATATCCCGTCGCAGCCGCGCCAACATTTTTCGAGCTTGCCAACAGAGAGTAGGACTTAAGACGAAATTTAGAGCCGGTTATCGCCCACCGGCGGCCTTAAACCCAAATTCTTAAAATTTAAAATTTATTTTCAAACCTTGCAAGTTGTACACTTCTTTTAATTAAACCAATTGTATTTTATTCCCAGTAGTTTTTTGCTACTAACTATTTAAAGATAGTTGTGGAAAATAAATTTAAAAATATAGCGGTAAAATAAAGTCAAAGTTTTAGTGAGTCAGTGTCTCGTCAATTTTTTTCTTGCATAGTCTGGAAACCAAAAACAAAAATGTATAACACAGAAAACTATGAGTTTTTGTGGTCGGAACAAAAAGCAAGATTAATTTGGATGGATGTATCACTTGAAAAACCAATTAAAGATTTAGTTTTTGTTTGAAAATCACATCTTTTCTACATTCTTAATGACTCTTCAATTCACAGCTGCATTGTACCACTGTTTTACAGAATGTTTGTGCATTTAAAAAGAATAACAAAGCAGATGATTGCTAATAAAATAACATTGAACGTTTGAACTCCTTTTTATATTAGCTACTCGCTCAAAAATTAATGGAAAATAAACATTTTAATACATTTTTGACACTGATTTTTGACACTACTTTCGTCAAAAGTAATTGAAGCCAGGCCAAAACAAAAACAAAAAAATGACAATAAAAACCTTCACAAAGCCCTAATGATTGTGAGTTAGACTTTTATGTCGATCTTAAACAACCTTATCACAACTAAAAGACTTTTTAATGAAATATAAATCAACACACTCTGATATTCATTTCTGGTACCTGGGTTTGTGTGGGAAGAATGGAACTGCAAGCAACTATATTGTTCTCTGTTGGTTTTTCTGTCTGAGTGCAAGATCCTCAAATATGATTCAAGCCAGGTCATCTTTAGTACCAAAAAAAGCCGTGTTGTGGTTTGAGTTTTTTAAACTTTGATAAGTAGTCCAGTCCAAACTACAACTAATAGGGTTTTATCAAATTTTTTCTTTGTGTCAAAAAATTGGTCTGGTTATTTTTGTTGTTCAGACAAAATTAGCGAGGAGCGGATGAAAGAATTAACTCTTCTTTTACCCATTTTTTCATTGATGCAATTAAATTGTTAGTAGTTTATTGAACTGCTTGAAACGCGTAACTTTCAAAACGATGTCCGAGTATCTGGAAAAACAGCTTTTAATAATTTTCAAAACGTTGGCCCAGCACCTGGAAAGACAGCTTTAAAGAATTTTGATTTTAGTTTAAAATTGAGGGATTAAACGAGTGAGCAGTAGGTTATTTATGCTTAATTTCAGACATGAAAAATTGGTTTGACATGAAAAATTGGTTTGGATTAAAAAAGTTATGTGTAAGCGCCATTTTGTAAATCAAAATATTAATAAATTCAACGAAAGTTTTTTGAGTCATTTTTCGACAGAAACAGTTTTTTACTATGAATGTCGAAGATGCCCAAGTTGCATTTCTTTCGGTCAGATCTTCTTATCACTCCACGCAGAAAAAAAACAACACTCATATGAAAAAAACCTCATTTTTGTATTTTATAAAGCTATGTTCCGAATATTCTGTGCTGTAACCGGATATCCTTGTATTTTTTTAGTTTCGATGATTTTTTCAACAGTTTGTGTGCTACTTACTCTGCATTGTTTAATTGTTTAGGTTTAGAATCTTTTTCGGCTTCTCTTTTTTCCTTCAGTTTTTAACAAATATTGAGAGCCTAAAGTTAATTATCAATTGGCATGCCTGGGCACTATAGTTATCAACAGACTGTACATGAAATCAGTGCAGAACAGAAGCACACAGCAACTCCATACATTGCGACTCTTGAAAATCTGACTCCACGGAATCTCCTTGCTGAAGTCTACCTGAAAAAAAAAATGGAAAAGAAAGTAAAATTAATGCAAACAATAATGAGTTATGCCCGAACTGAAAATGAGCTAAGAAACAGTCGCGTTGTTCTTTTTACGTTTGCTGCATAAAATCTTCGTTTAAAATACGTTCGCTTTCAACAATTCAATATGGCCTTACTGCAAAAACTTTCTTTGACGGATTTGAATAATGGAGACTCTGTTAGATTACTTCTTGAGCAATTAATAAAACAGATCGATTCCCAACAGAATGAAATTATAGAATTACGGGGTGAGAATGACAGGCTTCTTTACGACAATCATGAGTTGGAAAAAAGAGTTACGAAAGTGGAAAGGTATTCCTCATTTATGTGTTTAACATTTCATGGTGTGTCGGATGGTGGTGAGTACCCTGTCCATTCAATTGTGAAGATACTAAGGTCAGTAAATATTTCAATTCAGCCCCAGGACATCGTCGCGTGTCATTATTTACCAGGTAAAGGTCGAAATCGTCCGATTATTGTCAAGTTTTTGTATAATCACCAGCGAGATGCTGTATGGAATAAAAGATTCGATTTTTGGGATGATTTAACTGGAAATAAAATTCATGTAAACGAACGATTGGCAGAAAAAGATAGGGAAATTATGAACTACTGCAGACGGGACAAAAATCTACTAGCATCTACTCATAAGAATCAAGTCCAGATTAAAAAGTACAATTCATATGGCAGATGGCAACCAATTGATAACAAGAAGGATGTCGATATTTATATGGGAAATGATATCTCAGTAACTACTGACAATGAAAAATATACGGATGTTATTCAAAATGCTGCTGATTCCGACGATGTTCAATATCCAAAATCTTATTCTTTTTTGGGAACTCCGGGGAAAAGGAAAAGGAACGTGGCTTTTAGATCACCGGATAGTCATGAATCGCAAAATGATATACAAGAGCGGAAACTTGATAAACTATGCTGTTTGGTGGAAAAACTCATTGAAAGCCATTCTCCACCTCCTAAGAAAATGACTACCAGTGGTGATGTTGTTAGCGATGATAATATGGGCAGCAGCGAAGAAAAAGATCAACCTGAAAATTAAAAAGAGTTTCTGAACATCAGAAAAATATCTCTTTTTTTCCTGTGTTAAAGCTTTATTTTTGATTTTAAAGGGATTTCTAATGGGTAACGACGGGGACATACTTTTCTTAAATATTCAATCACTGCGCAACCATCATGACCAATTAAAAGTTCTTGTTGCTTCACTAAAATGGCAACCATATGTCGTTGCCTTATGCGAAACTTGGTTAAGTGACAATGATCCCTTGGAACTTTATAACTTGGACGGCTACCAAGAAGGAGTTTTTGTTAACCGTCAAAAAAGTAGGGGTGGGGGTTTAGCATTTTTCATAAAAAATCAAATTGACTTTTCGCACGAAATTTTATCGAATGAACTAGAAAATGTTGTCTTAACTTTAACTCTAGGAAGTAAACAGAAACTAAACGTTTGTTTGATGTATCGACCGCCATCAATCAATTCAAAGCATTTCTTAACGCAATTTGAGGATTTACTCGTGAATTTGAATTCAAAACAATGTCAGAACTCAATCATTGTGGGAGATATGAATTTAGATATTCTGGACGTGTCGCGCAATTCTCGATTAATTGATGAATATAAATTGATACTTAGTTTTTTTGGATTCTTCATATCAAATAGTGAAGCAACAAGAGAAACCGCATCTAGTTCTACCTGTATTGATCATATCATCAGTAAATATGATATGAGCGTAACTACTTTAAAAACTTCTCTAAGTGATCATTATGCGCTAGTTGCCTCTATTGGACCTTTTTTGGATGATAGTGACAATTTTAAGATAGGTCGAAACTTGAAAATCTTGAACAGAAATGAAAATATTTTGAAATTCTTGTTTGTTTTGCATCAAAATCTCAATAATTGCAATATGGCAACAATTGATGACATGTTGACCGATTTAACAAAAATGTGTCTGGATGTTTTTGACCGTTTTTGCCCCCAACAAACATTACTAAGGAAAAAACACAAAGACTGGATCACCAATGATATCAAAAAAATGTGTAAAAAGAGAGATCGTCTTCATGCCAAAATGATTAAGAAACCTTCACTAGAGAAAATTAATTGCTTCCGAATGTTTAGAAATAAGGTAAAAATGGCAATTAGGCGTGCTCAAAGAGACTATCATGATAAGAAAATTGAAAAATGTACATCATCAAAACAAATGTTTCAAGCTTTTAATCGTTTTTGTGGAAAACGAAAACCAGCCCAAAAAGAGATTGAACCCAACTTACTTAATGATTTCTTCGTCAATATTGGTAAGCACCTGAGCAATTCTCTGCCACTTGTTGGTTCTGCTTCTCAAAACTTAGACAGAAACATATCAAGTTTTGTAATTTTTAAAACGGATGAACATGAAGTGTTTAAGGTAATAGGGGCCTTAAAAACTAAAACTTCAAGTGGTCATGATGGTCTTTCAACTAAAATGATTAAATTATGTTCACCAGTCATATCTGTTTTCCTGGCAAACGTTTTTAATAAATGTATTGATACAGCATATTTTCCAGATGCTTGTAAAATTGCAAAAATTGTCGCTTTTCTGAAAGAAGGAGAAAAAGAAAATCCCAGTAATTATCGACCTATTAGTCTTTTGACAGTTTTTAGCAAAATTTTTGAAAAAATAATTTATAAAAGAATGCTAGTTTTCATTAACAAAAACAATATTATAATACCGGAACAGTTTGGTTTCCGCGAAAAACATTCTTGTATCCATGCTGTCCTACGAGTTACTGAATTCATGCGAAAAACGATTGAGACAAAAAATATGGGCTTGGCACTTTTTATTGATCTGAGAAAAGCATTTGATACAGTTAACCATTGCATTCTTCTGGAAAAATTATGCGCGTACGGTTTTAGAGGAAAATTCAACAAATTGATATTAAGTTATTTGACAAACAGACAACAATTTGTTGTTAATTCGAACGGTACTTCTAGGCAACAGGTAATATCGTACGGAGTTCCGCAGGGCTCTGTTCTTGGACCCCTTTTTTTCTTACTTTACATTAACGACATAAATAAAATTGTTTCAAAATCGGAATTAAGTCTTTTTGCGGACGACACTGCTATTCTTGCTTCTTTCCCAACAACAAGGGTAAATGATTACTTTAAAAATGATTTGCTGAAAACAGATGACTGGTGTGTGCGAAATAAATTGTCGATAAGCTCTACAAAATGTAAAATCTTACCATTTGGTAAACAATGTTTGGATAATGACTTTTCACTTGCGGGTGAAAACATAGGATTTACAAATTGTTTCAAATACTTGGGTGTTATCATTGATAGTCAACTCAAATTTACAGACCATGTTGAAACTGTGTGCAGAAAACTAGGCCGATTTAACGGAATTATGTATAAGGGCAGGGTAGCTTTTTCTCGCAAAATGCTGTTAAAGTTCTACCTGGCATATGTGGTACCTATAATTTCATATGGTCTGCTTGTTTATGGGAGTACTAGCAAAACAAATTTAGAAAAAATTTATATCTGCCAGAAAAGAATTCTCCGTACTATATTCTTCAAACGCAAATACGATCACATAACAACAAAGTTTAATGATCTGGGCATTGATACAGTTCATGAAATTTATTTAACTCAACTTTTTAAAGAAACCATTTTTCAATATTTAAAACGTTCACCTCTTGATTTTCTAAACGTCAGTAATTATAGTAATAAACGAAATACACGTTCTACTTCTAACGGAATGATTCCGTTTTATCGCTGTAGGACAAAAACTATGGAAAACTCCCTTTCATGCAAAATCGTTAAATGTTTCAATTTTTTGATGTCAAATAAACTCCTACCCGATAAAATCGAAACGTACTCTCAAGAACAGCTGTCAAAATTTTTAAAGGTTTTCAAAAGAAATTACATTTTAGACAATGTACAGCTGGTCGACAACTTTTTCTGATTTGTTTACCCGTTGTCGTTACTTAATTGTGATAGTTATCCCGGAGGGTAGCTACTTGTTAGGTTGAAAAGCCTGTTCTAGCTATCCTGATGCAGTGAGTGATTAAGTATGTATTTCTTCACTGTATCGAATAATTGAATTGAATTGAACTCATAGAGTAATTTCGGATAGGGTACACCGTCTGCTCGTCACGCTATCTTATTTTCGGCCGGATAGATTCGTGCAACTTCTTAGTCTAATACCGATCCTAATCTTACTCTTATACTTTCTAGTCTCAGGGTGTTTAACTAGTCTCTGCTAGGCTCAATAGATCTAGGGTATAATGGTTTGTTGCGGCTGCTGAAGTTCTCTTGGAGAGACAACTAAGTTCTAAGTTAAATTCAAATCTCTCTGGTGCTGAAATTACAAGTAATTTCAGCACTTACAAATAAGTGGGTTGTTAGTTAGATGGATCATGATTGGTTAATATTAAATACTTTACAGTGGTAAAATACCTAATTTATCCAATCATAAAATATAGTTTAGATCAGGTTCCACCCATCCGGGTTTTACAGAGTTTTTTAGAATTATCTTTCTGCAATTCAAAGGATGGATGATGAACGTTGGTACTTGGCGAACATCGTATTCTTGTCCGGTTCCTCTTGTTAGAGAAAATCCAGAACGCTGGAGTTAGGGGCATCAATCGTTGTGTCTTCTTGTGACAACGACTGTGTTTCCCAACGAAATCAATCTGATTTCAAAATGGTTTGCTATGACGGGTTTTTCTGTATTATGTAGAGAACTTGTTTTTTGTTCAACCTCGTCTGGGAATGGCGTGGAGATTGTGCGTGGAGGGGATGCCTTGTAACTCGGATCTGTACGTATACTTGAACATCGAGGTGGTCATTGGTCTAGTTCAATGAAATCTTTTTCTGCGAAGTCAAGTCGTACTCTAAATCCTTTGAGTTGTGATTGTGGACGGCATATCGGTTGTGGTTAGCCATTCTTGTTCGAGTGTAGTGGGGTCATTTTGTCTTTGGATGTT